CTTTAACTGCATAACAAATTTATGAAATTTGCAATAAAAAAGACTCCTGGTTGCAAAATATAGGACGTAACGTTTGAGAGAAAAATACAATTGGGAAAGAAGATGGCACGCGTGGCGCGAGTAATTTATTCAGGTTTCCACTTCGTTTGCGAACGATCGACGCGGAACGGGTTTGACCCTCTTGGTCGGCGTCCCACGACCTTACGATGATCCCTGGGGAATCCCAAAATCTCTTAAGAACAAAATCACGCTCGGTGAGCACGGCATCGCTCTGGGATAATTTCTCGCGTGCAGTAACGCTCAATGCGAGGATTCCGCGGCTCCGGATGGAGTTTCCGGTTTTGCGGAATTCTCGAAGGAGCCCGAGAGGACTCTCTGAAGAAGAGACACCAAGTCGCCTGTCGATTTCGATTACCAGCCGCTTCGTTTAACTTCGTTTTCTCGCCGGCTTTTTATTTCGCATCACACTATCGCGCCCAACAAATGAGAAAATACCAACGTCGTCGGCAGGACACCTTAAAAAGACATTTGTGGCGCATTAATAAAGCGCGAAGTAATCTGCGATTGATTAATTGTGCAACTTTGGAAGAAACGATAATATTAAGAACATAGAAAGTGTAACAACAGAAACATTTACTTCGAAAAAATAGAATTCAACAGGATTAATGTGAAATATTAAGTGCATAAAAAATGTAAATGTAAAAAGCATTTTTATAATTGACAACAAAATGACTGGAATTTATTTCGATTGAATGTATTGCGAATTGATTTCAAACGTCACTTACTATTTTCCCTTCAACTGTTTCATGATTTTTGAAGTAAATTTGCATTTGGTATCTGTTTTAAAAGCAATTGGATTAAATTGATTTTTTATCGATAATATTAAGTAGATATCAAAAATAAGTTTCAATAAAAACTAAACTTTTTAATTAACGGAAAAAGGATCTTGCATTGTTACTTACTTGAGTATATCTGTGCTTAATACTCGTTTCAAAAGCAATTGGTTGAGGATCTGTGACAATATATTGTTGATTGCTTCTTTTCTATAAAATGCGATCGAATTTCTACAAGTAGTCTTGAGTACGATAAGTATACTTGGTTGAAAATCTCCTTTCATAAATATAATTTGCTTGTTATATTTGATATGTCCAATAACGGAAAAATGTTGTAAGAGTTATTATATTCATTGCAAGAACTGGTTTTCTATCGCATTAACGCGCGTCATTGCAATGCAATTAACAATGCATTTGAAAGTGATCGAAACGTCGAGAGTAAATATTAAAAGCGCGCAACGATAAAGCAGAATTTTTCAACTGACCAGTTAAAAAGAACCGGTAATTACGAGTTGGTTTACCCGCCTATTTACAGGCGTTTTAATTTCTTTTATGATTTCTTTGAATAGGTTCGCATTTGATATTTATTTCAAAGGCAATTGGATTATGCTTTGTAACAAAGCATTGTTCGTTGGTTATCTTCTATGCAGTGCGATACAATTTTCCCAGGTTGATTTCCGCACACTTCCGTTCTGCAATTATAATATTATTCCGTGTGTTTGCGTGCGTATAATACTGCTTATTCAGAATATAATTTATCTCATATATTTGACATATTCACTTCCATCAGTCCTTAAACATGGGATAAAGATATTTATTGTTCCTTAATATATTTCCTTTTTCGTACAAACTTTTTTCATAGATTTTTTTCTAACAAAAAGATTGTAAAATTCATAATTTTTTAATTATTAGCAAATAATTAAAAATATGGTAAGTAGATGAATAAAATTTTACAATTTAATATTTAGTGACGAAAATTTGAAGTTTTTTAATAAAAATGTTGTCAAGAAGAAATTGAAAGAGAATTGTAAATAAGAGAAAAAGTAATAAACTCACAAACACTCTATGTACATGAAATTACAATAATAAATATGATAAAATTTTCTAAACGAAACCATGGAGCAATGAAGCGATCAAATTTGAATCGAATGAGTGGAATTAAATACTCGATTTAAGTACGCGATGTTAATCTAGATTCGTTTGAAAGACAAATGGTTCAAACGCATTCTAATTAAGTTTCTTATAATTGTTTTTCTCTGATTATTTTTGCGTACCGTAATATTATCCATTTCAACTTGATCTATGTCTTTCACATTATCTCCTAAATAAACTCCGATGTTTACAGAATCTCCAGACAAACGCGAATCCATTTGTTAATCCGAGCGTTCTAGATTAATTTGACGATGCGAAACGTTAGCTCTACAAATATGTTTGCTCGTAGCGTCTGGAAATATCAATACTCAATATCCACGCGATTATTTATCTCGACAGTCAGAGCTGTGTGGCGTCCTGCAGCGATCGGGCCGAAATCTCCTCTCCGCGAACGATCCTCCGTCAACGTCCGTCGCGCCAGTGTGCACCGCAACTACCACCGTTACCAAACTACCACTATCACTATCACCCATCATCACGACACTTTACCTCACAACAACAGCACGCAAACCCCGCACGTTGCGTACCGATGGCGAACGCGCACCCTCACTCACCCCGTTCTCGTCCGCGGCTCTGCTTCTGTGTTACAGAGATCCTGCCCTCCTCCACCTCCGTAGACCTGTCGGGCACGGATTCGGCCCTGTACCCGTTCGACCCGCAGCAGGAGAACTACCAGGAGATCTGGTTGCCGCCGACCAGTATGTACCCCCATTTTCTGTTCCCCGGGACCGCGCGCACCCCGTCGTACTACGATCCCGACAGCACGCACGACATACGGCAGTCCGGCGACCGACGCCCAGACCACTACCAACACCACCACCGTCACGGCGATCGGCATCATCACCAGGAGGCGCCGGAGCTGCCCGGCAGGCCAGCCGTCCTCGTCGTCGAGGCGTACAATCCTCGGATCGATTCGGGTCGATACGAGATCGACGTGAATCGGTTCGAGGATCGCGCTGCGACCTCGCGTCCAGGCGCTGATCACCCGGATCGGTCGACGGATGGATCTTCTTCTTCCTCCTTCTCTTCCTCTTCTTCTTCTTCTTCTTCCTCCTCTTCTTCTTCTTCTTCTTCTTCTTCTTCTTCTTCGTCTTCGTTGTCCAAGCATGATCGCTCCAGCACAGTGCACCTGCAGCCCCAAAGCGAGCATGACGCGCACCCGCACCAGCATCGGCACCACCATCACCAACAGCACCAGCACCATCACCATCGTCAGCACCCCGCACTACCCGCACCGCCGTCCGTCGT